CCTGAACCCCCTCCAGGAGCCAGGTGCTGATGCAGTGTAATGCTGGTAGGGCATGGCGGGTCAGCTGTGTCTCAGTCCCCTGTTATGTCACCTGCAGCAGCCACAGCACTCCCAACAACGCTAGTGGTTGGGACCGCAGCCACCTCAGCCTGAAGTAAACACACACATGTAGTCAGATGCAATGGGACCAGCATTACTGGACTCTCAGGTTTAAGCCGAGTCCTGACAATGCCAGTAGGATTGCACATGGACATAAGCAGACAGCCCCAAAGGACAGCATTAAGGATGAGAATTTTAGGTCAGACTATCCAATACAGAAATACAGGCTTTCCAAACACAAATAGGATTGCCTTAAAATTGTGCACTTAATTATGTATTTAAGCACTCACATAAGTGACCTGTTTTCCAAAAGTGCAAGTGCTGTCATCGTAACTAAAGATGTAGAGGCTTGGCTGGTTGCATTTGGGGCAGGGGGTGTTGCTGGATTTTCCTCAATAAAGCAGAGTGCTGAAATGCAATACGGTTTTATGGAAATATTTTTGATCAGTTTTATACCAATGCGCTATGGTTTTATATATTCTCCAGAAATACAACAGCTCTGCATGATTTTTATTTTTGGATCTTAACGGGACGAGTTCTTTTATTCATCCAAGGAAGCCTTCGTTCTGCCTCTCCTAATCTTAATTCAAAAAAATACTCTGGCTGTCACTTACATTGGAGAAGCTTCTTATCCTGTCACAGTCTCTTCTTTGCACATGAAAAGAGAAATATTACTTATTTGCTACAGCTGCCAAGAAACACGTTTTGAATTAAACAAGGCGATGTGACAGGCTGAGAGTAATCACATGCAAAAAAGAAAAAAACAAGAAAAAGAAAAATGCATACTGGAAAAATGAATCACACCTATTATCATCATACTGGCCTGGCCATATTGGTCTCCTAAAAAGAGATGAGTAAGCTGAAACTAACTTGAAATTATGAAACCTTAAAGTGGAATAAACTATATTGTGTTCTGTCACTTAAAAAAAAAAGCATTTAGTACTTCACTTGCAGAAACCACTTAGTGCTGAAGTAGCACAGCAGCATGTCAAATTGAACTGTTTTTCAGAAAGGGAGCACTGAACCTGTGGAACTCAGTGTTACTAGGTCAAAAGCTTAGCAGGTCTCAGAACCAAGGCAGGTAATGAGAAAAACCATATCTGTATTAGATAGGGTATGTTTTAAATTAAGATTTGTTCTGAACTGTCATGTCTCAGGTCTAGGTCAATGACTGAGGCAATATGGTAAAGAATAATCATGTCCTACTGGCACTGTTTTTTCCTTAAAATTTCTTGCTATTTTGCTCTGAAGCTTCTGGCATGGGCTTCTGTCAATCTTGGGGCTCCGGCTCAAAAGAACAATTGTGCATTGTTCCAAACAGCTGTAACGCCACTGCTGCAGAGAGCAGTGTGCGCTTCTACAGTCAGGCTCTGCCACTCTGTGATCCTACACCCTGAGGATCACACACCTGGCTCACGGTGCACTGGCTTGATGCCCTTAGTGTACAGCTCCCAGTACTACTCGTTTTACTTTAGGTGGCAGGCGCTGCTAGGGAAGAGCTCATGTGCAGAGAACATGGATGACCAGTGTAGGCACAGTCTGCAAGCATCGCATCTTGGGCTGGACCTTGCTGGGCAGGCTGCCCAGTAACATATACCTCCAGCATTAAGTTGCCTTCATTTGGAGAATCCTTGAGGATTTGGTAGCACAGTGATACTCTGATATTGCCTGTGAGGAGAAAATTTAGGGCTAGTGGGAGTACTCAGTCGTCTTTGAGTGAAGCAGCCCTAGCTAGCGTGAATTGGTACTTTGCCGCTACTCCCTTCTTGTACCAATGAGTGCGTCTTGCACCTTGGGCTTCGCAGGCATTGCTCCATTCCCACAGAGCTTGAACTTAACTATTCATTACTTTTGCAAATCCACATTGCTAGCCAGTAATTCCAATGAAGGGTGAGCATTTACTACCTTCCTGATTATCTACAATGTTTTCAGCTAGAATACTTATGAGCTGGCTGAGTGACAAGCTGATGGTGCTGATTCAAAACCAGGACTCAACAACAGAGCAAAGTACCTGAGATTTAAAAGGCAGCGCAGTGCCAGTCTCTAAGCAGCAGGTGGCAATGCAAAATGCTTCATTGTTGCAGTTAGGAAAAAAGCAGCAACATTCCAGAAAATACTCTTTAAAGCTCCTGGAGTGAAGTTGTCACAGCCTTCTGTTTCACAGATCTCGTTTGGCTGTTCACTACAATTGCAATGACTTCCCTAAATGCCAGCATGTCCCCAAACCACTTACACTGTTTTCCATAAGAAACAATAGGATGCCAGGAAACAGAAAGTGGCCTTGACAAATTATGTGACAGATGAGAGAACAATCAGGCATTAGAGACCATGACACCCATGTGCACCTGACAGGCCAGGCTCATTTGAACAAAATGACTAGAAAGCTCAAGATTCTGTTTGGAGGCAGCTCATTCCTCACCTGATCTTCCTAGAAGGTGCAGAGATGGGGAGAACCCACAAAAAGTCAGTACTCTCACTCAGGTATTCACTCAGACCACTCCAGTTGCTAGTTAGTCTAGCCACAGCAGAGCTGCCTGTTGGAGCACATGAGAAGTCCCTTCATGTCCTTTCTGTTTTACAGCAGAGCAATTCAACCCCACTTCCTTTAAATTATTCCAACGCTGCCCTAATAAATGCCTGTACTAGTGCAAACTAGGAGGTAGGCAGCAAACTGTGGTGTTTCAAGGACACGTCCGCAGAAAAGTAGCCTTTTTTCTCTTATCTATGATGTTGGAAAGAAAGCAACAGCAACGACGAGCGTACTGGGGACTGCCCTCATTTTATTTGGTCCTGGGGTAAATCTAAGTTCTAAATTCCTAGCACAGAATTACTTTATGTCCTTGACTCCAGAAAGCACTTGTAACCATACAGATGTATGAAATCTCTCTTCTTGCATTCTGTTACAGTTCTAATTTAATTGTGGAGAATGAACCGCTTCAGTTCATGTACAAGTTCATTGAGGAGAACTGTGTACAACATTTTGAATGCAATGCCCCTCCGATTAAAGGTAAAACATGTTGCTCAGGCAACAGCTTGAGGCACAGGGGAAAAAATATCCATGGTAGAAGAGAGGCAATATTCATCAAATGAAATGTCATAAAAACTGCAGGGAAAGAAAAATCATAATCAGCTCTCAGATTTTAATCATAAAAAAGGAGTAAAAATTCAGCCAATAAAATATTTCCATAATTTTTCTTTGACAGTCCCAGCTATGTAAGACAAAGTCGCAGTTAAGTAAATCAAGGCATGATTCAACAACTATTACAGTTTGCTGATGCCAAATGAAGATTGAGGCCATGTTTTCTCTGCTTTTGGAGATCAACCAACTCTTTAAAATAAAACTGATGCAGGAAAGTTGGACAGAAGTGCTGTATTTTACTAAGAACTTACTCTTTAATTTTCATTTCTCTTCCATTCTGCTCCGTATTGTCATCTTGCAGAACTCAAAAGGTCGGTACACACCTTTGGTCTAATTATCAGATGTCCCGATACTTTGATGTGGTACCTTCAAACCCACCCTTTTACCTGTGTTAGCACAGATGACGCTCTAAAAAGCCGGGAACAGGATTTTTAACCAAGCTATGAGCTAATCTGGAAAATTCCTACCTACCAGGATGCTTTCTGAGAATAGACAAGTAAGCAAAAGGCAGTAACACCCAAATAACCTGTGCTAGAGTCGTGAGATTTGCAGAAAAGTCACTTTTGCTGCCCCAGGAAGGTCTATTTGGGGGGTCTGTAGCAAGAAAAGCTTGACAATTGCTGCAAATGATACATCACATCAGCAAAGCCAATTCAAGTTATATACTGAGTTTCAGGTATAATTTCCAGCAACGCAGGGAAAATTATCACACAGGGAAGTGATGCTCTGGGTGAAGGACAAGCACATCTGCTAGCTCAGCACTGTGAAGACTCATCTCTGCCACTGACTGCCCAGCAGGTCTCTTGTGCAGAAATAATTTCTTGCTCGAGTAGCTCATTCATGGTCTTATGCTTATTGAACATTGACCATGAGGCTCCAGTACTATATATGCCAACTGTTTTTAAAGTGGGTATTTTTGACAATCCAACCAATAATCAATGAAGTAACAATGCAGTGCTTATGCCAGAGCTATACGTATCTGTTTATTGATGTCTATTCATGTATTAGTTCTGTTTGTCTTAGTCAATTTATAAATAAGGCTGCATCGTTTTTCACAGTTTATGGCAATTCACTATTTTATATATATAAAATTTGATGACTAAAATGGACAGGTATGAATTTCAGACTTCTGAAATCCATAGTCACTTTTCTAGAAATTTATGTACAAGCATAAAGCAAAGGCTGCCTGTGTCCACTCACTCTGCATATCAATAAGACAGCCTTGTTTCTGCACTGTATGGTTTTGTTACTGTACATGATATCTGAATTTACGAAATTCTCTGAGGTGCCATCCTGGGGGTGTCTTTGCCATAGTGTCCCTTTTCAATGTCAAGTGGAATTGCTTACTTCTTTTAAAATAAATGAATGGATGTTTACATGCTTGTATCACCTGCCACCATCCCAATCCTGTTCCCATACAAAGCACAAGCAAACAGCACAACGGTTATTATTGCAGCAGTCAACGGGCAGGACAGATTCTAGATGATGTTTGGAAGCCTAAAGCATCCAGATGCTTACCTACATCTGTGCATCTTTAGAGATCCTTCAGTTCACAAGAAGATTCGTGAGATCTTCCCGGCTCTGCTACTTGACATACCTGAGCTGTTGCTTCCAGCCAACATGGTTGGGCTGACAGAGGATCTCCCCAGCCTGCTGGACACCATGGGTGGGCCTGGCGTTCCATCCCATTCCTGAGCTTTCCCTGGCTCCCTGGAGGAAGCTGTCCCATGATGGCCTCCCCTCTCTTTGTTTTCCAGCTTTGGTAGTGGTTCAGTGCTGTGACTTCTGATCTTCAGCTCATCTAGTGGTTCTACAAAATATACAAGTGCACATTTCGTTATGGAGTATCTGCTAACTTACCCACGTCACAGAACAATCTTTTGCTCAATATTTCACATATACCAATCATAAATCTTTTAAGGGCAATTTATATCACAATTTTACTGTCTCAGCCTGAAACCTATGGTTTATATAGGTTTCATACAGTTTTTAATTATTAAAACCATACACAATCCAGCAGGTGGATGAAATGTAACTTTCCTGTTACAACTTTTATATGCCAGGAAAATATTTTTGAAAATGGTATCCTTCCAAATTGTGCTTTTATTAACAATTCATTGAAATACTTGAATTCTTTTCAGCTGTCATTTCATTGGGAACAAGTTCTTCTTCAGGCACTTTCTACGGAGTGCTCTCCTAAGGCAATATTGTGCAAGCAACTCCTCATAAGCTCCATTAAAAAGCACACAATCCACAAAACTGTCCAGTGTGAATATTGGAGTGTTAATCCTTGGAGTCAGAAAATGACTTTCTGCTTGCAATACAAGGAGGAGAAATTCAAACAACAACTGAATGATTTTTCAAGTGAAGCAGTGATGTCTGCTTTCTTCATGGCTGGTGATTTTCTGTTCTTTTCTTGAGACCCTCATTTCTTTTCCTACAGGTTGAGGAATGCATGGAGAAAATTAATTCCTGATCTTTTCCATCTGTAGCTGTGAAAAATTCACACAAAAAACTAGATACAGAAGAAACATTAGATTGCTTTTAGTTGTAACAGCTAATTACTGTGCTAATCAGTTATTCAAAGCTTGCTGAATTGTTTGCCTCCTTTTAGCAAAAAAATAAAATATACCCCTCTGCGTTTGGAATTCTGTACCACACACTTAAGCCCAAAAACATCCTTACGTGATACGCTCAGTTCTAGTCACTCAGGTTTATAAATCAAACCCCTTATGTACCTTAATTTCTGTATGCATCTACAGTCTTGAAATTCGCATTTGATAGAGATAGACAACACTCCTGTGAGCCCTATCTCAAAATCTTTTTGTGGCTACAAGGGACATTACAAGATGTGGGACAGCCAAGCAAAAGGAAAATGCCAGGAGCCATTCGCAGGCAGGAGATGACGACAGCTCCCCAGGGGACCCATGCCGAATGGCAGTGGCCTGGCTGTGCAGGACTGCCAGAGATGCAATGGCAAAACTTGTCTCAGCAGTCACTTCCTCTCCCAGTTATCCCCATGGCCAGGAACTGGCCTATCCAACAGGAATTGCCACTCAGATGATATAGTCCTAGAACAAGAACCACATTCAAACCACTTTAATTTGGCTGTGGCTCAAAAATCCACACGCTGTTTACCCTTGCTACAACAAAGAGTGGAAGATGCAGTATGAGGTATCTATATGGTATAGGAGAGAGCCCACCTATGCACAACGGTAACAAAATCTGATGCTGTTTTGAGTTCTTTGACATTCCAGTCTGCAGAAGAACTTGATCAGCAACAACACAGTCAGCCTGAAGTCTCCTCAATTAAATGCCATATAGGAAACATGTAAAAACTTCTAACTGGATATGCAGTGCAATAGGTAATCGTTAGTGTATTTCATGAATTACTATCAGTTAATACTAAAAATTAATGTTAAGGATATCATACCACAACCTTCAAGATTTTTTTTTTAATTACTCACAGTAGTAACACTCCATGAGAAGAAGATAAAACGACCCCAGTTTAGCAAGTCTCGTAAATGGGATTCAGTGACATTTTATGTGACAGAGACCTTCAAAAATCAAACTTCTCCCTTGAACTTTAGGTCACTTACCTACTTTAATGTATGCAAAAAGACACAGTAATGAAAATCCAAACTGTTTGTTTTTCCTAGTTGGTAACCCTAGCAGGGTACAAGGTTGAATAACAGTCTGTATCGATATAACATGACATCTGCCTTTCAGGGACCTTTGCTACGAAATGTCTGTAACACAGCTCTGTCTGTGACTGCGTAGAGAGACTTGCTAATACAAAGAGCCATGCAAAGAGATGTAGAGCCCAAATTATAACTAGACTTGAACTGTTTCAGTTATCTCTCATTTTTTCTGAGCATTGATCTATCAAAAATAATTATGTACTTTTTCATATAACAGATACATGCAATCATATCTGAATTTTTTCTTTACACCAATAACATTCACTTCTTTAAGATAGCAGTTATCTAGGAAAAGGAAAGATACAGAGTTTCAAAATTCTTTGGAAATGCACACTACCCTCTTTCCCACCAATACAGGATGCTGTCTAGATTGCAGCTCTTCCTTTCCAGCAAAATGAAGAGAAAGCCAAAAGAATAGAATACGCTTTAAAAAAAGTCAGAATCTGGCCCTGCTAGTGCCCCACCAACTTAATGCCTCATTCAATAGATTTAATTTACTATGTCATTCAGCTGCTACTGGAAATGCTGTGACTACCTCAGTACAAACCTTCTCTGTGTGTGCCTCATTGACACTTCTTGAACACTGCCCCTTGAAATTTCACACGCTCACGCAGCCAGCCCTTAGCGGCAGTGGAAACACTCTGGTTGAGTGTGGAGCTAAGGATTTATGCACTTCAGTTTACTTAACAGGGAAGCATTTGTACTTGTTGCCTGATAAAAATGATTTGTGCATTCTTAGTTTTATTATCAGCTGAATCAAAGCACAAGCAGTTCTCTGCAACCAGCTGGAAACTCTGGAAATATTCAGACTAAATAAAGATTTGGCTTAGAGTCTACTTCTTTATAAGGTGTAGAAAATCAGTTTTCAGCTGGCTGTCTAGACTTCGTAAATTTACATTCCACTATCCTTTCTTGGGGATTTTCAGTTCTCAGTTTATCTGAAAAGTAATATATCCTAAAAATGAAAAGCAGATTGAATCAGATTATAATGTCATGCAAGCCATCACAGAGCCTGAATCATTATTATTTGGTGATCACTATCGCTAACATTGATACACAGTCAGAAAAACAACACGCCAGTGTTTTATATAGTTTTCTGTAATATTACTTTCCTGCTCACTTGCAAATACATACAATAATGAAAAAACCCCCAAACATTTAATGCCTCGCTTTTGATCAAATATTCTGCGGAGGATTTTAGAATAATTTCAGCTCCCTTAATAAATGTCAATGGGAATCATACTCGAATTCAGTAAAAAAAAAAAAATCACTGTGCTTGTTCTTGCTCGACTGAAAGAGCACTTCAGTTCTCACGGGCCCATGACAGCTCCAGAAACGCAGAACGCTCCCCTCCCAGGTCACAGCGCACTACTGGGACCTTTTTGTCGCCTGCCCCAGCCACTTGGATGTTCTTATACCGTCAACTACTCCCTGCTGCAAATGCAGCTCCACGGAGCAAGCTCAGTGGCAGAAATTATTGTGTCTCATAAAAGCATGTTCATTGCTCTGCGTTCTCACTCCTGCAGGCAGGCACGAGGCATTGGCAGACAGCAGAATGTGCGTGTAGCTGCTGGCTATGGTTACCTATGGGGTGGTGACCTTACCATCAACTGAAAATCAAACCAGTGTATTTTAAAACAGGGTAGCCCTTTATAAAAGCTACAGCAGGATTTAAATGGCCACTTTATTCACATTGATCCCATACTGAAAACATGAACTCTAACCAGGCATATATATATTTGGCTGAAAGGTAACAGTAGCTGCTGCACAGTTTTTTAAAAAATTTTTTACTTGAGAAGTGCAGAAACACAGATGGGATCTAAGTTACCCCATGCTGTTAAAAACCTTAATTTGGAGGTAGGAGATATTGAAGCTCAGTGGTATGCTGGGAGCTCACTCAATCATATGATGGCCACAGGCAAATCTTTCACAGTCAAGTGCTGTATTTTGAAAGCTGAAATTATTATGGAAAGCATCTTTATTGTTCAGTAATTCGTAAGCCAAAATAGTACATAAAAATGTAAATTTCAAGAAATAATTCACTGCTTTAAATATTTATGGATACAGTTGGTTGAACTGCCATAAAGGCGTTCAAATGTTTCAAGCACTTCCAGGTGTCACTGTATTTCAATATTCAAAGATATGCATTTTTCTTATTTATTTTACCTGAATCTCAGGCTTTTCCATTTCAAGAATAAGATGATGACTAAAATTTCTTAGAGAGAACATATTTTACAAATAATTGACATGCACAATTTCCACTCTATGAAAAGTCCCCTAGCAGCTGCACACCAGGCAAGGCTGGCACGTGAGCTGTGGTACTGAAATGCTTGAAAATGCTCAAGAAAGTAAGAAACAAACTGAGTTAGTCAGCTGTAACTTGGACCAAAGCAAACTGAAAGATACAGCTATGGAAAACATCTTACCTGAAAAGCTATCATTCAAAGGGATATACATTCTGTGGCTGGTCTGCCACTCTGCCTTTAAGCACAACTTAATTTCAGGTTCTGGTGGCTTCTTAGTGTAATGCTAAGTGGTAAACAGCAGAACCTTTACTACAGCTTGGGTAAGAAAGAAAAGCAATTGTCTCAAGGATTGCTTTGAGGGTTGCTTTCCGCCATGTCTCAGCTGTGAGCTGAAATGTGTAAGCTAATCATCCATGCATTATTCATTTACTCTTTTTTTTCTGTGTGTTTGTTATAAACCTAAATAAATAATACATCACTCTAGGCAGCACTCGCATACTGTGGGAAGTAAATGGTACTACTAACAGTCTAAAATTCAGCATATGCGCACAGGTGTAAAGCAAAGTAAGTCACGTGGGGTGGGGTTTAGATGTGAATCAGAACTTCTGATCTCCTCCAGCCCCGACATGTCAGACCTCACCTCGTACAGCCACAAGGTGGGCACGAACCTGGCCAAGGGCGCAGGAGCGCAGAGCATCCTCAAGGGCACACCTGGCCTCTGGAGGGATTAAGCTGCAGCCAGCACGTGTGCGTGATGATCACAGCTACCAGAGACACGTCCCAGGCTTCAGCTGCTACCTTGGTACCTGGGCAGAGCTGCTGAGCTCAGCGAGCCATGTCTAACCCTGGGTCCTGACCAGAGG